TATTTAATTTTAACCTAAAATCAAAAGTGAATTAAGTCAGATGGCTACATTTACAATATCAGACATTATTATGGCTAGATGACCCAAGCATGTCCAACCTGCAAACAAGCTGAAAGCAGTCTAGAAAAATTCAAATTTGTAAACTTAAGCATTGAGGTTTTCTTTCTGTATGTGGAATGCCCTGTTCTGTTGGTGTGCATACACACACATGTGCGCCTACACATGTGTGTGCATGTGGGAGCCATGCTACTTCAGGAACTGATTATTTGGCTCTGAGACTTGATCTGAGCTCAGGGAGTAGGTAAGGATGCCTGGGCACCAAGCCTCAGACACCTGCCCAAGTCTGTTTTCCCAGTGCTGGGATTATGAGAGTGTACCACCACGTCTGGATTTGTTTTCATTGGTAAAATTTGGGCTCTCAAGATGGAATTCAGGACCTCAGACATGCACAGCAAAAATCTTACCTACTGAATTTCATATGCAGGTCCCTGTGGTGTATTTATTGGTTTTGTAGTACATAAACTTTGCTGGGCGGTGGTGGCACATGACTTTAATCCCAGCACTCTCGGGAGGCAGAGGCAGGTGAATCTGCGAGTTTGAGGCCAGACTGGTCTACAAGAGCTAGTTCCAGGACAGGCTTCAAACCAACGCATAAACCCTGTCTGAAAAAAATAAAAATAAACTTTGTAGGCAATCCTGAGCCTAAACCAAAGATATCTTTTAGTTTGTTTGCTAATTATGTATGAGTGTGTGTGTGTGTGTGTGTAGGCCTGACAGCAGCTTGCCTTGGTTGACTCCCCTTTTGCCATATGGGTCTTGGGGACTCCAATTCAAGTCCTCAGGCTTACCTGCTAATCCATCTAGCTGACCCATATCTTCAAAAGTGTCCGAGACCAAGGTGCTCAGATTAAGAATTACTTTCTTTATTAAAAATTATTATCAGTTTCTAGACAGTCTATCTATATGGTCCTGAACTCACTATGTAGACCAGGCAGGTCTCAAACTTAAGAGATCTGCCAGTCTTGCGCCCTGAGTGCTGGGATTAAAGGTGTGTGCCGCCACACCCAGCTGGGTTTTGTTTTTGTTGTTTGAATGGTTTGAGACAGGATCTCATTTTGTTGCCTTGGATGATTTCAAATTCTCAGAATCCAACAATGCCCCTTCCTCAGCTTCCTGAGTCCCAGATACTGTGGGCGTCTCCCTTCCAAGTTGTTTAGATTATTGTAAAAACAAAACCCTGGGGGCCGGGTGGTGGTGGTGCACGCCTTTAATCCGAGCACGCTGGAGGCAGAGGCAGGTGGATCTCTGTGAGTTTAAGGACAGCCTGTTCTACAGAGAGTTACAGGATAGGCTGCAAAGGCTTCAACTTTCTACTCAGAAATGGTCCCAATTCTGGGAAAACATTTTTTGGGGATGACTCGAAGTTTGCGATTTGTGAGAAGGCATGGGAGAGCCCGGTTTCCAGTACAGGCTGAGGGTTCTCATTCCGAGTCTCGCCCATCCTATTCTTTCCTCACGATTCTGGGGATTGACTTCAGGCCTCACACCTAACAAGCATGCACTCTACTATGAGCCAGATTCCTCCCTCCCCAACCACATTCTTAAATACTGTGTATTAACTATATTATGTGACAGCCACCTTGGACTATTTTCAGTTAGATAGAATTAAATATGTAGTTTCTCAGGCTGGGTGGTGGCACAAACCTTTAATCTCAACACTTAGGAGGCAGAGGTTGGCAGATCTAAGTTAAAGGCTTGCCTGGTCTATGCAGGATAACCAGGGCTACATAAAGAAACCCTATCTCAGACAACAGTCCTTCCCCACATACACACACACACACACACACACACCTACTTAAGTGCTCACTAACCGCATGCAGCTTGTGTCTTTTTGTACTCAACCGCACAGAAACACACTTCTAGCCTTGCAGAAGGTCCGTCAAGCAGCACTCCTGACTGTCACTGTCAGTGCACCATAGCAAGTCTGAGCTGTGCTTTAGGGCTGTCAGGTATTTATTGTAACTCTCATCTAGGCAACATCTGGGCTTGGGGACGACAGGGAAGATCTGATGGAATATGGTCTTGCTTTTTACGGAAATTATAATCCAGTAGAGGATGGAATTATTAAACCAAGACACCATAGAGCAGTGTGGGGTAAGGATAATCTTGTATAATGGCAGTGGGTCAAATGGATATACTTATGGGAAAAGTGAAATCTGAGTCCCTACTCTCACATCATAGATCCAATTCCTGTTGAGCTATAGAGCTAATTGGGAAAGGCACCAATCTAAAACTTCAGGAAAATAAGATCACAATTTCAGGACAAAGTCTTCTCAGGGTATAAAAGGCACTGATGAGAAGATGGAGAATTAAGGATTCCTACGTACCAAAAAACCATTTTATCAGAGGTTGTCAACTGCTATAGAAAGGTTTTAGTTAGCCCTCACAATGCTCCCCAAATGACGTATAAATTATGAATTACTTGTCCAAAATTTAGAAGACATTTCAAACAAAAATGCAGGTTTTCAACTTTTTTTTTCTTTTGAGAGGGGGCATTTCAAGACAGGATTTCTCTATAGGTTTTGCAGCCTGTCCTGGAACTTGCTCTGTAGACCAGGCTGGCCTAGAACTCAGAGAGATCTGCCTGTCTTCCACTGCTAGGATTGAAGGCCTATGCCACCACCGCCAGGCAAGAATTTACTTTTTTTTTTCTTAAATGTATAGTATTCTGCTGCATGTATGCCTGATGGCCAGACGAGGGCACCAGATCTCATTATAGATGGTTGTGAGCCGCGGTATGGTTGATGGGAACTGAACTCAGGACCTCTGGAAGAACAGCCTCTTAACCACTGAGTCATCCCTCCAGCACCGGTTTCCAATTTCCTTCTGAAACACAATGCCTCAGGGAAACTAACAGGAATTGCAAAGAGGTGCCCTCCATAGAAGGCCTGTTTTCTCTGTGCCATTCCTCATTCATCCTGGTTTACAAAACATGCCATGCCATGGTCATATTGATCAAGCACAGGAATACTTAGCACCCACCAATTACAGCGGATGCTTAGTAGAAAAAAATAGCTGGGTAGGAGGAAAGAGTGGGATTTTAGCATGACGTAGTGGTGTACTCAGGAGACAAAGGTCTTGGGTTGATGAGGCCAGTCTGGGGTACAGGGTGAGTTCTAGGCTAGCTTGGGCCTACACAGCAAAAGAGAAAACACAATGCCAAGCCCCTCAGATGGGCTCTTTTGATGGATCAGGGAAGGTTAGGTATGAGAAAGCTAGCAGGGCAGGGATGGTCTGCACCTTTTTCAAAGGGTAGGACCTAAACTAAACATGGCCCTGCTCTCTGGCCCCCACCATCAAGCATCCCCCATGCACTGGCCCCCATTAGCAAGCATCCTCTGTGCACTGGCCCCCACCAGCCAGCATCCCCCGTGCACTGGCCCCCACCAGCCCGCACTCTGTGCTCAGCAGCCAGAGCAAATGCTTGTCTTTTCCAGTGATCTGCTTTTTTCCCTGATACTGTCTATCCTTTCGGAGCCCAATAGTCTCATTTCTTTGCACCCTACAGAACTCTTCAGAGAGCTCTTGGCACAAGGGCAATACGAAATACCTGTGTTACCTGGCAAACAACCTCCTTTGCGAGACTGTCCGGGGATGAGTGTTGATTGCTAGTATAGAACTGACAGTCATTTCCTAATGGACGTTTTGCATTTGGACAATAGGTACCATATTCATCAAAAAAGAGACCACACTTCCCAGCACTCAAAAAGAAGAAACAGAGCGTGGAAGACATCCTCCAGAACCCAGAGCTGACAGTGGGAAAGCTTCAAATGCAGGTCGTGGGCAAAGACTTTTCTGTTTTAGAGGCACCAGAGAGCAGGCTTAACTCAACCGTTTGCCCTGTAAGACAGCATGGAGCAGGGCATAATTAACAATCACCATTAAGAAATACTGTCAGTGGGGGGCTTCTGAGAGTAGCTAAGGGACTGCAAAGGGGACCTAGGATGACACGGAGTGCCTAATAAATATTAAGCGAATTCCATTAAAATGAGTCACACACTGGCTTGAGAAGAAAAGGAGGTCGGCTTAGCCCCTATGAGGTAAATCTGTTCAAGCTCCGTTTGCTATGAGCTGAATTAGAATATTACTTTAGCACTCGCAGGGAAAACAACTGTTTTTTGCTTTTAGCAGTTTCATGTCTTTGTATTTACCACAGGTGGACGACCTCATAGAAAGAGTGACTGACAAATGCACGAAGCTCTTGGCCCAAAGACATGCGGAGCTTCAGCAGTGTGAGTTCCTAGGGGCTGAGATCCTGCAGTCTTCGAAGCAGTTCCAAAGGCTTTCCAAGAGAACCACAAGGAAGTACAAGCTAAGCAGCACATGCTGCCCATGCACCTGCTGCTGCCTCTGAGTTCCAAGTACACAGCATGGCAGCAAAGAGAGCCTGCCTCCAACAAGGTGGAAGACAGAGCAGTAGCCGAGGCCGCCATCTGAGCCTAACCTATGCCACAGCAAGTGCAGACCCTTGCACAAGCATGGAAACATCCGTATCATGCATGCATGCCCAAAAATAAGTATTGTAAGAAATGACTCCTAAAGAACTAAAGAGTGGAGAGGAAACATTTACTAAACACATTTCTCAAGCACTAACAGAGAGAGACGTAGAAAAGCAATGCAGATGGACTGATCTCATACACCAGCAATTCCTAACAGAGTGGAAACCTTCCCTGCAATGAACATGTTCCACATGTAGTAGTGATCACGGCCCCTCACTTTCAAAAGTGCTTCCTCATGTGTATTCCAAACGTGATCTTCTCAGACTCTTCAGCTGACCTGTTACCAGTTACCCAGTTCTGAATAACAAAGATCCAGCTTGAGACATTTTGTTAAATGTTTTCAGATGTTGAATTTTACCTTAAAGGATAAAAATGCATTTAAAAAACACACATACACCAAATACATTGCCTTTTTGTGAAGAAATATGAGTGAGACATGAATTAATATTTAAAAGCAAAGCATTTCACTGCCAAAGTTGAAGCATCTCAAAAGCACAATAAACCAAACCCAGTAAGCCCATGCAGCTTTCCACTGTCCCTGTGACTGGGGACAGTCAGCCCATCTACGGCTTAGAGTCTGTTTCCATGGTACTTTCTTGAACTTCGTCCACCTCTGACAGCTTGTCGTCATCTGCAGGTAAGAAGACAGAACTTTATTCATCGTCACCTGCATTTTATGGCCAGAACATGCATGAAAAGTTTTATTTTGTATTAGCAAATACATTTAAAACAAAGATGGCAAAATGGCAAGTTATGGCTGCAAAGGCTCAACAAGTAAAGGCACATCTTGTTGAGCCTAACGATTTAGGCTGGATCCCCGCATGGGGAAGGAGAACTAACTGACTTCTACAGACTGTCCTCTGGCCTCCACACCCATGCCATAGCAATGTATGCAACCCTCTCCCCCAAACACACACACACAAATTTGATACATTTAAAAATTCTGATTCAGTTATGATTACTCATTACTAAGAGTATAAAATTTGTATGATAGATTTCATTAAAAACAAACTGATACCTAGGTCTCAGCCTGATTTTTTTTTTTTTAAGACAATCATCATCAGGGAACACAGACAATTCCAGTTGTTTATAGTCACAAGAAAAATCAAGTCTTCAAAATCTTGGAGTACCCCACTTGTTAGGCATGTAGGCAGCCTAACATACTGATGACTTATAGTACCTTGCCCATGTCCCGAATCCTTAGGAAACACTCCCCATCATCCTTGAAATGTTCTCACTACTAGCCATGTGTGAAAAGCACGGATTACATCACTGCTCTTCTGCACGCATACAGAAAGTTGAACAAATGAGTGTTTTCTATTGCCATCCAGTTATACCACTAGATCCTGGATGCAGACTCTCTAGTCAAGGTATTCTTCTAAAAGACACAGCCTAATCATTTAAAATCTTCATAAGCAGCAATTTTGAAATGGTTTTTTACTTACTCTCCAATGTTTGTTGAAGTTCGTGGATGGTACTAAGAAGAACGTGAAATTGTTTCCGTCTCAATTCCAGCTGTGTTAAGAAGAAACAACTTATATATAAGTTGGTACACACACACACACACACACACACACACACTCTCTCTCTCTCTCTCTCTCTCACACACACACACACACACGCGCATGCACACGTGTACATGCATACACATAAAGGCTTATGGATATATTCAAATACCTTATCTTCAACACTTTCTTTAATATGTGAGAGATGCTCCAGTTCTTTGCCCAGAGCTTCTAGCTCCCTGTGGGGAAACAACAAAACAATGTCATATTTTGTTACTTAAGAGAAGTTATAATTATTTTGGTCACTAAATAATATTCTGAAAATAAAAGGGTCTTGAGAGATGGGAGAGATAACTTGGCAGTTAAGAGCACCTGCTTCCCTTCCAGAGGACCCAGGTTCTATTCCCAGCACCATATGGTGGCTCACAACTGTCTGTGACTCCAGTCACAGGCATCTGACACACTCCTCTGGCTACCATGGACACTAAGCATACAAGTGGTTCACAGACATGCATGCAGACAAAGCATAACACATAAAAGAAAAGGAAAGAATAAGGAATCTAACACTCCTGTGGTAAGATATTTGAAACTGAGGATGATTTCTGATCTCTTAAATTGTACTGATTTATTACAACTAGACTTTTAGATACAAATTTTAAAATGACAAGAAAATGTCATGTAGACTAAAATTTATGAACAGATATATTTTGCACACCAACTTCAGTTTTTCTTTTGGTAAAGAAAGAAAAACTCTGCCAATTAACTAAAATGCTTTCTGAACCTGACTCCCAATTTCCTATCTCACACCTATTTCTCCCCCTCTACTTCCTACTCAGATAATCTGTATATTATTCTAATTCTTTTAGATGCATCATTTATATCTCTGAATAATTAACAGTATTAGTACATAACATTTTGAGAGTTGCTTTTCATAAACGAGATGTATATGTTTCATAATTTGAAATTTATTAAGTCTTTTTTACTGTTTGTATCTTGAGCTGTTACAAAATATGTATCTAGTATAGTCTGCTTTGGTACACATATTTGTTTCCTCTTAGGCATATTACGTGAATTTATTCTAGATCTCTAGGTAGTACCATTGGAGAGAGGACATAATCTAATCAAGCAGCGCAAGATTCTGTAATGCTGAAACATGACTGCCCCTTCCTTTTGATGTACACTATGTGCTTATCTGAAAATGAAATGCACAATAGATCTTCCACAATTCTGTGTTGGAGCCCACAAGGCTAGACAGTGGACGTACAGCTGACACACCAACAGGCCGATCCACAGGAAGTGTAAACATACATGTCCACATGGAATAACCCATTTTGCAGAGCTACGGGAACACTTGTCTTTTGGAAAAAGTCACTGTCATATCTGTGGAAACCTTGTGAGGCCTCCATTCTCCCATCAGAATGGGATTCATTCCCAAAACACCTCAGCAGTGTAACTTCTCCTACAGGGGCAACAGAATGACCTTTCCATTCCCCACACCAGGAGGCCTTAGAGACGTACTATTCACTCTTTGTTCTAGCAGTCAAATTTACAGAGTCAGTCCCACAAAATTACCTGCTCACACACCACATAGAAATTTCTACAGAAGACAGGTATTGAGCAGGAAGACAGCGTGCCCCACCTTTGCTAACAAACAAATCTGGGCGTCCCCAAAGCTGGTTATCACAAAAGAGATTAGATGAGGAGAATGGGTGAATTCAGGACTCAGGGATGTTTAGTAACTTTATCTATGGTTTGGGACGTCAGATACTTCCCCTTGGAAGCTGGCTCCTTCCTGGGTCATGTCACCTGTTCCAGAGTAGTATTGCTTTGTCAGGTTCTACCTGTCCTTTTTGTGATTTTGATATGCATATTATCATTGTCTTTGCCTAAGGAATTTTCCAACTATCTGTAGAAAGACAGCTCCCTGTAATGCTCTAAACTTACTTCAGTGTCTCATGCCTGTCGGGATGATGCTGGATTACTTTTGCCAAAGCGTCATATTCTGAAAGACATGAAAATATTTGACAAGTTAAGGAGCTTTTTGAACCTGGATTATCAGAACTTCACTTTCCTAAATTAATAAAGAAATGACAATAATGAGCCCTGCATGGCGCACACCTTTAACCCCAGCACTTAGAAGGCAGAGGCAGGTGGACCTTGGGGAGTGTAAGGCCAGCCTGGTCTACAACTCAAGTTCCAGGAGTCAGTGCTGTAATACTGAGAATGCTGTCTCAACCCCAAAAAAGGCAAGCTAGAAGCAAGTCATAAGTAGCATCCCCCAAGGCCTCTGCATCAGCTCCTGCCTCCACATTTCTGCCCTGTTTCTGTTCCTGTCCTGACTTCTTTCAGAGACTGGATTAAAATGTGGAAGGATGTTTAAGAATTATCATGAGCACAAGCAAAAACTGGAAGTGATGATTACGAACATTAATACAATTAATTCCTTTGGAGATGAAGAAGATGAAGGAAATCTCCCATATCCTGCTGTGTGACCTTGATCTCCATTTTGGTCAGCCCCAAAAGACTGAGGACAAGGAGGAAAAAATAAGCCATAGAAGCCTGAGATACTAGATGTAGCCCTTGCTTTTATTAGATTATCTGACTGAATTTACTGGGAATAGTATTTTTATGTGTGTTACTTTTCTTTATGCTGCATTTGAATAACTGTGAAGCTGTGATTCTTTGCCTGTCTAAAACACCTGATGGTCCTAATAAAGAGATTAATGGCCAATAGCAGGGCAGAAGCAAGGAGAGGCAGGGCTAGCACACAGACTATAAAGAGAGAACAAGGAGTAAGAGAAAGAAAAGCCAGACACAAGGAGAGGAGGACATCAGGGGCAGCTACCCACGCATCCAGCCAGTCACAGAGCAATTATGAAAGAAAGGTATGCAGAAATAGAGAAAGATAAAAGCCAAGAGGCAAAAGGTAGTCAGGATAATTTAAGTTAAGAAAACCTGGCAAGAACAAGCCAAGCTAAGGCCAGGCACTCATAACTAAGAATAAGTCTCCAAGTGTGACTTGATTTATCTGGGAGCTGGGTGGTGGGCCCCCAAAAAGCCAAAAGAGTAAAACATCACACAGCATAAACTTTTCGTATTTGTTTTCAATTGCTGGACTTGGTTGACTTAAAAATCTGGAAGAACTAAGTTTATTAGTATAATTTAAAACAATATAAAATTACAAATAAGCATATCATCTTCATGAACATCTAGTGGACAGCACTTTCTCCTCATTTAAATGTAAACATTTCAGAATCTGAAGTGATTTTAAATTCATGTCATTATTTCTGCTCCACAGAAATTGCCACATTAAGTCATGTAACTTCTGCTAACTTTTCTTATGAAATGATAAATTAAGTTTAAAATTTAACAAAATACTGCACAAACATTTAAAATCACTTAGAATTGATATTATTGATACTGATATTGATTATTATTATTATTAATGTAAGCTGGTATATTTGCTATAAATTAGCCACTGAAACTTCACACATCCTGTAACTAGATGCAAAGCCACTTCTTAAAAGGGAGAATAAAAAGCCAGGCGGTGGTGGCACTCACCTCTAGTCCTAACATTCAGGAGGCAGAGGCAGGAGTTTGAGGCCAGCCTGGCCTACAAAGCGAGTTTCAGGATAGTCGGGGCTACACAAAGAACCCTGTCTCAGGAAAAGAAGGGGGGGGGGGGGAGTAGTGGTGATGGTGGTAAAATACTGAATTGATTGGGGTAGTGGTGATGGTGGTAAAATACTGAACTGATTAGCTCACTAAAGCATGCAACACATTGTTTCATGACACTGCATAGTAAGTCAGTGAGGCTGATTTAAATAATCTTTTACATTATAAAAAATATATTTTTCAGTATAAAACAAAACAGAAGTAAAGCCACAAAACCTCACCATCATCAAATAACAACATTTTCTATTTTCATTTAGTTTTCCACAATACTGTAGGTTATGGCCATCATTTACTTAAATGACTTAGAGCTAAGTTTCCATGAGACCCAGACTTAGCGAGAATTTGTAACCCTCTTGCCTTAGCCAAGTGATGGGATTTCAAGTATGTACCACCACGCGGTTTAAACATTGCTCTTTATTTTTACTTCTTTCAATTTACGTGACAGGAGGAGCAATGTTCCACCATTTAAAATGATTTTTGAGGCTGGAGGGATGGCTGGGCAGTTAAGAGCATATACTGCTGTTTCACAGAACCCAAATTCAGTTCCCAGCACTCCTGTGCAGCTCACAACTGCCTCAACTCCAGGATAAGATGGACACTTCTGCCCTCCATAGGCACCGCATTCACACATACATAGACATACATACAAAATTAAAATGATTTTCAAATATCTTAGGAACCACATGGAGGCGATGCTAACTTTAAAAGAACAGAGACTGGAATAAAATAAACTCTAGCCTTTCTTCAGAAATATGGAAATGTATTTCACTGTACTTTAGTGCCTGTGTGTGGTAGTGCTATGGTATGGCCAGAGGCTCACGTCTCTCCTCTACCACAGGACACAGGATTTTGGGGCTCAAACTCAGCTGCCATGCTTGGCGGCAAGTGCTTTGCCCACTGGGCCAACCTGCTGTCCTCTAAACCTTAACTTTCCTGTTAGGGACTTGTGTGGATATGTTTGCTTGCTTTGTGCTTAACAAAATGTTTAAATTCTTTTCCATTTAAAAAGTAGCTTCATTAAACCACCAGATAAACACCTCTGTCTGTCGTATAGCTCACCTTCACAGACAAACTGCAACACCGCTTAGCAAAAAGGATCTGAGAATATTTGGGTAGCCAATAAAATTCAGCAAAATAAAAATCTTTTTCACTATACCTTGCCTTCTCCATTTTAAGTAACAGTTTTAAGAATTAATTATAATTATTTTTTTATAAACTGATTCACATTGTAGATTTTACCTTTCAATATTAAAAACTTCATGGAAGTTGTAGTTGGGAATAAAATATACACACAAAGTCCTTCAAATCATTCTTACCTTGTCGATTTTTTCGTATTCGTTTTGCTTGAAGAATTTGCTTTTTACACTCAGCAATCTTCTCATGTGCTCCCGCAATACTACATTCTACACAAAAGGGAGTTTTAAGAAGGTAATTATAATTACATGTATAATCTGTACTCTTAACAGAAGCTCCACTGATCAAACAAGACGCTGACATTCACAGCACGTCATGCTCCGTCTTATTACATGACACCGTGGCTGCTGACCTTTACCAGACCCTTTATTACCCGGCAATTACCGACAGCTTTACTACAGTGCAAATATTACCAGACAGCTTTTTTCTCAAACCACAAAAAATTATACCAAGAAACAGTACTTACCTATTTCTTTGTATATTTTTTCATAATTTTCCATTTCTCTGAGATTCATATCATATACCAGCAAAGTTTTGCCCATTGAAAATTCACATTGAGACAGAGTGCTCAGCATACGTTGGTACTGGCTATATCTAATGAAAAAGAGAAAGAGAATTAAAAAAAAATTGTAAACTAAATAAAACCGTGTTCAGGCAATTATTTGTTTTACTTAAAGTAGAACACCTGCCTTTATTACTTTCTTAGATAGACAAGGTGTAAGGTGTACTTGAACTTACAGGCTGCTCTGGTTACAAAGGCAAGGTGAGGCTACCGTTCTCAGCACCATAGGCTCAGTTCAAGGCATCTGTTTGAATTATTTTAATCACCCTTAACAATATTTTGATTAAGAGGTTTTATTTTTTTTTTTAAGAGTCGGGTGGTTATGAGGCACACCTTTAATCACAGTACTTGGGAGGCAGAGGCAGGCGGACCTCTGTGAGTTCGAGGCCAGCCTGGTCTATAAGAGCTAGTTCCAGGTCAGGCTCCAAAAGCTACAGAGAAACCCTGTCTCGAAAAACCAAAATAAATAAACACACACACACACACACACACACACACACACACACACAAACACAAATAAAGTTTTTTTCAGAATTCTATTCTTACAACTTTCCTACTCTATACAATACAATCACTTGAGCAGAAAATCCAGAAAAAACTTCAAAAAATTCGTGTGTAATCATTTTGCAGCAACTTATATATTAACTTAGTAACAAAAGAGAAATCTTCATTTAGAGATATTAAGCAAATATTGATTTGATATTAAAGGTAATCAAACTATTGAGTCTGAATTTAATCTTTGTTTCGCCTTTTACTCCTGCGCTTTCTCCATGTTATACAGACACAAAGGAGGCTGGGAAAAAGAATAGTCAGTCAGGAAGTGGCTGCACTGAATAGGGAAGGTGAAGAGAACTATTTAACATGGCAGAGAACTATTTAACATGGCCTAGAGAATACTCCACCAGGACGTTGGTATAGAAACGGCTGAGGAAGTAAGTACCCCTCCTCTTGGGATCCAGAGTTGCACCACTTGACAAAGCTCTTCACGAGGAGATTAATTCTCCGGTCATCCCCAGCACCATCTCCATCAATCAGAAGACGCTTCCGTATGACCTCGTCTAGAGGAAAAAGGGTAAGAATTGAAATGAACATTTGGTTTTGGGTAATTCTCAAGACAACCAGTATTACTACTCATTTGCGCATCCAAAAGAAAATGACTTAAGTGTAAGTATATTTAATGCCATTGGCTGAGCTGCCACTTAAAAGCAAGAAAGTAAAACTGGTAAATTTAATTTCTTGTCACAATTAAAAATGTCTTTTTCCCCCTCAAAGAAAAATGATTATCTATGGTATGTTGGGATGAGGGCCCAGGTGAAACTCTGCCCTCAGAACTGGCATTCCATGGGTTGTGAGAGGAAATTTGCAGGTCTAACAGAAAGGCTAAGCCAATAATTGTTAAGAGAACCACTTTTGAAAAACATCTGCCCAAACCAATGGAAGCCAGGACTGCACAGATCTATCCAGGACTACACTATCCAGGACTGCACACAGTCTATCCAGGACTGCACACAGTCTATCCAGGACTGCACTATCCAGGACTGCACACAGTCTATCCAGGACTGCACACAGTCTATCCAGGACTGCACACATCTATCCAGGACTGCACACATCTATCCAGGACTGCACTCATCTATCCAGGACTGCACACATCTAACAGGACTACACACATCTATCCAGGACTACACACATCTATCCAGGACTGCACACATCTATCCAGGACTGCACACAGTCTATCCAGGACTACACACAGTCTATCCAGGACTGCACACATCTATCCAGGACTACACACAGTCTATCCAGGACTGCACACAGTCTATCCAGGACTGCACACAGTCTATCCAGGACTGCACACATCTATCCAGGACTACACACAGTCTATCCAGGACTGCACACATCTATCCAGGACTACACACAGTCTATCCAGGACTGCACAGATCTATCCAGGACTGCACAGATCTATCCAGGACTGCACACATCTATCCAGGACTGCACAGATCTAATCAGGACTACACACATCTAATCAGGACTACACACATCTAATCAGGACTACACACAGTCTACCCAGGACGTATGTCTAGCTAGGTGAGAGGAACTGACAGGAGGACAGGGAAAGGAAGGATCCTTGCATGCAGTATCAACTCATTCAGACATGGCAGGTCAGAGAAAAGAGTGCAGCTTCATGAAGTAATATAACGTAGTTGTTACACGCTCTAAAGCAACTCTCATTTTTGTTGCTGCTGTCTGACCAGTACAGGCTGCTCTGGAAATCACTATGCAGCCTCTGCCTTCCACGACAGGTGTGAGCCACTACACCTGATTCCACGTCTCATTCTTTGCTTCAATGCAAAGAGAAAATAAAACACAAAAGTAATGCAAATGATGACAGAACAAATGGGGTCCAAACCACCTTGTTGGGCAGTTCTGAGCTAGAGTTCTTACTGGGACCAAATAGTGCTGGGCCATAATCAGAAAGACTAAAGGAAACGGGAAAAATCCATTTCCATCTAGCAGATCATAATGTGCACCACACTGTTGACAAGACATTCAGAAACTGTACTCACACACTGTTTAACATGCAGGGACAGATATAATGAACAATGCTTGAAATGGATGCAGCTTTTTGTCCCCGCAAGCATAGAATTTTTCTCTTTTCCTGTTGGATTCTGAGATAGGATCTCTCTCTGCAGCTATGCAGCTTGTTCTGATACTCTGTGGCAGAGGCTGGAGTTACAGGTACGCACGGCATGCACAACAGTATTGTCTGTAGTGAAAGACTGCACTGCAGACCCCACACAACCTCTTTAGATGATTAAAGTAACTTCTGAGACGTGGAGCATGCTGCTGTCCAGTGTGTAAGAAAATGTAAAGAAGTGTGCACACATGCAGAAAATATCTCTGGAGGGGTTCATGGGTAATGGACAGTAATAGTGATTGTTTCTGATAAGGGGACTATAAAGATGCAAATGATTTTCTTAGATACCATTTTATAATTTTTGTTTGTTTTCTGGGCTTTAATTTTCTTTTTAACTGAATTAATTAATTGAATAATATTTTGAATAAACATTTAAAGTATGAATAATTTCTGGAGAGACAACATGAATCAACAGCTAAGTCTCCGACAACAGCGCTTGTGTGTAGGCACAGGTGTATGTAAGGACAGGCGAGAGAGATGGGCCCAGGTCAGGACAGCCTTAGACACTTTTAACTTTTGAAAGGCTGTGCAAGCTACAGATTTGTCCGATCATTTAACTTTATGTTTCAAAAACACTAATTTTTCAAACTTTAATCACTGAACAATGTTACTTCAAGAGACCCAGATAAATAAAACTTAGTCCTTTAAAAGATTAAAATCACCAGGTGCTGGTGGCACAGGCTTTTAATTTCAGCACTCAGGAAGCAGAGGCTGGCGGATTTCTGAGAGTTCAAGGCCAGCCTGGTCTACAGTGAGAATTTCAGAACAGCCAGGCTGTTTGTTACACAGCCTGGGAAACAAACAAACAAACAAACAAAAAAAACCCAAACACACACATACACTTTTGAGACAAGGTCTCACTTTGCATTCCTGGCTGTTCTGAAACTTGTGTAGACCTTGCTGGCCTCAAATACCCCCGCACATAAGATTGCAGCCGGCTTCTGTCAAGTGCTGGGAGTAAAGGCAGCCTTGGGGCTGGAGAGCAATGCTCATTCTTAACCACAGAGCTCTCCAGCCCCAAGGCTGCCTTTACTCCCAGCACTTGACAGAAGCAGAGTTCTCAGCACTTAATGGCTGTCATCCCAGCTCCAAGGCTCTAAGATTCCAGACCTCTCTAGCACCTGCTCACACAGGAGCTCACGCACACACACGAAGAATTAAGAAGAGGAATATGAAGGTGTGTGCTAACATGCACGACAACGTTGACGGTCTAAATGGGACAGAAGGAGCATCCACTCTGCTCAGCATCGGGAAGTAATGGTGCTGCTCAGGCGCTCTGCTCCTCACTCCTTTCCTACCAAGCACTGCCCTTCTTCCTGGATGCCTGGGATGTCAGACACAAATGCAGTAGGAGACAGAGAGGAGCCACCACCACAACTACTATCTTAAGTCTAGTAACTAAAAATATTGTGATAGTTCTGGGTGAACACTTTAAGATCTATGCATCTTCACATATGAACGCAGCACTCCAATTTGGGAAATGTTGAGAAGCCAATACATCAAATCAACAGCCCCAGCCAACTTGACTTTCCTCTACAGCCCAGATATGTATGTAGGTCAGCCTAGCCTTCTGTGTCAATCTCTTAATTGCTGTTACAGGTGTGAGTGAGGTACCATGACAGACTTCAAGATCTTTTCTTTTTTGGAGACAGAGTCTTGCTATATAGTCTTGGATGCCCCGGAACTCACAGAGCTCACTCAACCTCTGCCTCTGGAGTGTTGGAATTAAAAGGCATGATGCCACGCCCAGCCTGACTTCAGTATTTTAAAATTGGGTTTGTGATGCCTCAAAGGCCTTCTAAAGACCACTGCCTTTATTAAACACTAACAAAGACTAGCGGCCGTTATTTTCATTGTCATAGCAACAAGTACTTATACAAAAGGTGTGAGCAAAATTTATGCACAAAAGGCATAAAAGTAAATGCTGAGGCTAGGAAGCCTCTCAATCTCAGAGCAGAAATAGCATCTGCATCAGCACACACACTGAGGCAGCGGCGGTAGTTAGAAGAGAATATATCACAGATGAGCTGGGGACATTCAGATCAGGTGGGATTTGAGTGGCTCTTTATCAACATTTCTCAAAATTTCTAACACAGGTTTCATTCAGCAGTATTAGATATAGCTGAATTAAGCAATGACACCATTTATATACTATAACATTTTAATAATAAATGAAAAACACCCCAAATTTCTGTAAGTGGGTGAACAAGTTAAAATTTGGTATAAGAACAGAATGAGATATTATCAATCTGGAAACAAAGGATGAGGAAATACTTTTTGATACAGAGATAAATTAATATCCAAGACAAAGAATGTATAGTATGCTGTCATTGAAATAAAAATGGGAGGGAGAAGTATATTTACATATGCTTGAGTTTGCATAGATACCCTGGGAAGACATAAAATAACAAATGAAAGGAGCTATCAAGAGAAGGCCCTCACTACAAAAACAAAACAAAACAAAGCAAAAAACCAGTCACTGGAAGACAAACTAGAAGGTGAAGAAATGTAAAGTTTGACTTAGATACCAGAAGAGTACTCAAAATCTGGGAGTTATTCTGTTATAAAAGCAAAGAAGGCTAAAGTTTTCCCATTTCACGCCTCGCCAGCAGGTCGAGGCGGTGAGCTCTAGAGCTGGGGAAAGGGTACACCAGAACCTGAAGACCAGATGAGAAGGCCAAGGTGGCGATAGGAATGGTAGTTTACAGGCTGCCTTCAGAGAAGGCTGTATCTGTTGGTACATGGGCAGGAGCGAGTGGAAGATGGCAACTGGGCAAACCCACAGGCAGGAAGACTAGTCAGGAAGTTGCCAAGCCACAGGCAGTTAGGAACTAAGTGGCTTAATGGAAGAGGAGAAGCCCAAGTTCCAGCAGGCAGGTTAGGATTGGGCAGGGGGCATGAGAGGGAAGTGGGAACTCAGCTGGCATTGCAGAGGCTCTTATCTGGGCAGTCTCAGACCCTCTGTGCACTTCAGCCCTATTACTCTCTAAGCACAGTTTTTCTAAGGACTGAGCCAGAAACTGAAACTTGGAGACGAAGGTTTTGGTTGTGTACCCAAAGTTTGCTTTGTGTATGAGCACATGAGATCAGCTCGTAACTCCATGGGGGGGTGGGGGGGATAAAACTACCTAGTTTGTGGGCTGTTGAGAATCACACTGAACAAAAGTGAAAGAAAATGTCAGTCCGTAGGATAATGCCTCACACATTACTCTTTTAAATCTTTAAATTTTAACCCACAGCTTGCAATGCCCTAAAAGCGTTACATGAGTAAATGAAGATACTTAGCTAGACATACAACTAGGTATTTATGTAAATATGTAATATGTATTCAAAAAAATTGCCCAGTTATGATTGTTTGCCTCTAACTTATAGCAAGGTCACAGCATTCCTTTCTTAAATGTTGTATGGACAGTTACTGCCTAGAAAACCAGACAAGAATTACTGCTGTAACATACACCTTGTAGAGACTACGCTAACAATGAGGAGAAAGGTACATTCCCAGGATGAGAATAGCTTCCCTTCTCTTTATTCCTAACACATACGGCAGGAGCATTTTTATTTTCAGCAACACCTCCTCATTTAGACCCTATACTGAACATACCTAAAATGTTTTCTTTTTTTCCCTTAAGACAGGGTTTCTCTGTGTGTTGTCCTGGCTGGCAAAGCCACTCTGGACGTTTTGCAGACCAGGCTGGCCTCAAACTCGAGAGATCTGCTTGCCTCCAGAGTGTTGGGACAAAGGAAAGGGGTGCACAACCACTCCAGGCTCCTAAAGCGCTTTCGACTTCCTAAATTACCATGATTGAAGCCTTCAAAAGTAATCTGGTTGCTTGTGCTACTCCCAGCAGGCCTTGGGGCCATTCTATAACCACAAATAAGCAAAAACAGCTTAGAAACGACTTTATTGACACTAACTCGAGGAGACACTATGATATGTTTACATAGATTCCTATTAGATTTATCATTGCATCACCCCACTTGTGTATTGTTGAGATGAATTACATATGCTCATCTGCTGCACTCCTCATGGCAGAACTCCTGTCCCCACCCTTCGTGAACTTTAAAATCATTAGGTCAACAATAAGAATATATATAAAGGGAGACAGAATAAATAAACAAGGGAGCTTGACTCCTTCCGTGTAAATGCAGCTCTCATCTGAGGTACTTATGTCTCGTTTAAACAAACTGTTCACGGTAAAACCAAAATTAAAAAATTTTAAGGCAGACATGCCCACAATCCCAGTATTTAGCAAGGGAAAGTGGGATTGCACAATTGCATAATTTAAGGATAAAACTTCAATTTTGCTTTAAAAACCTACCTTAGCTAAAGAGAAATTATTCAATATTTGAAGTAGTCCACATGCAGAGGGGCAAACGGGATGAATGTAATGTACTGGCCCTGGTGAACAAAGGCAGCAAAGGCTTCTACAATGTTCACTCCATTTGTCTCCGCTCACTGAGAGCTGAACCAGCTTAGCTAATGAATAGCCATTCACTTTCAAAGTGCTTACATGAATTACCACTCTGTATCCTTGAAACGACCCCATAAAGTCTATGCTATCACCGTCCATTTACAGATGACCAGTGTCATCTTTGCCTTCATTGGAAAAGATATACAATTACATTACTGAATAGTGCCATTATTCTGTCATACTGTTTATGAGCATGTTAAAATCATTTGAAATTTAATAAGTATATGTGCATGAGAGCTGTAAAGTCAAACTGCTCTATTAAGTGGGACATTTCCCCATTTTCTCACTTCCCATCTGTTACTCTAGACACCAGCATATCTACTTAATGTTCTCTGTACTACAAAATGGGCTCTAACACAATTCAACACACCTTAAATTATCACCTACAACACATAGGCTGTTAGAATAATTTAAATTACCAGTGACATATCTTAACCAGCTTTTAGTTGGCAAAACTTAGGCGTGGTTTTGTCAGAAATGAGCTGCCCCTTGCCTAAGTCACTAACTCCCCAGAACCTCCTCAATCCCCACTGACTTTTCTGTATGTGAACAAGCTGGGGATGCAGAGTGTTTGCAGAGCATGCAAAGGAGTCTTGGTTCAATCCCTACTAGCGTATGCACCTGCACACACAAAAGCACACACAGGCACAAGCATGCACACAGACACACACACACACACACACACACACACAGATAATGCTGTCTAGATCCCAGTATCACCCCTCTAATTTCCTTCTATACCTAGCACCTCATATTTGTTGATTGCTTCCTTAGTAATTACTTTAGTTCAATTCTCTTCCTCAAACAAAGTAGGGAATGGCAATCAGTGCAGATACAGTTCTCCCTGGGGGAGTGGTAGAGGTTAGTAAAGTCACATCTGTATTAAGAAACATGTACTGACTATTACCATGTGTTTGATTCAGCACAATGCCCTTTATTTTTAAAACAGCATTCCGAGGTAGATTTTATTATTATCTTAATTTACAGAGAACAAAACCGAGCCTCAAAGAAGCTAGGTAATCGCCACAAGGCCAGAAGTTGCAGTTTCAAAAGTGGGCTTCTTATGGCCTCTAAGAGTTAGGGGTTAAAGTTGGCAAGTTTATAGCTCATCATTCCTTCCCCTCCCTCACCCAACAAATGCACCACTCCTTTGGAGCAAGGTACAAAATCATGCAAGTCAGAAACGTCTGACCAGTCCAGGAATTGGCCTGACTTCTGCTCACTTACTGAAGTCCCTTGGTTGGAGGGCTGGCCCCATCACCTCTCACTAGCACTACTGCAGCAGGAACTGCACTCAGACCATGCAGGCCAGGCAGAGAGATGCCTCAGCAGTTAAGAGCACAGCACAGGCTGTCCTTCCAGAGGTACTGGTTCAATTCCCAGCACCTATGTACCAGCTCAGAACCATGTACTACAGATAGGACACTCTGGGAGACTCCAGACACCAGACCCACATATACACACACACACACACACACACACACACACACACACACACACGAGGGGGGGGGCTTGGCTTTTAAGCTCAGGTTCTGGAATTTACTACTACTGCAACTCTGGACAAGTTACTTAATTTCTTTGAGTAGCAACTTCTATAAAACAGGGATAATGCTGGGCGGTGGTGGTGCACGCCTTTAATCCCAGCACTCCGGAGGCAGAGGCAGGTGGATCTCTGTGAGTTCGAGGTCACTACAGGAGCTAGTTCCAGAACAGCCAGGGCTACACAGAGAAACCCTGTCTCACAAAACAAAAAACAAACAAACAAACAAAACACAGGGATAATTAGGACACTGGCGGACACCTACTACAGTAAAGGTTAGTGAAGGGGGTGTTTTCAGCAACCCTTCCCATTTCCTCACGTGCAGGGGCTGAGGATGTAGATCAGGATAAGAAGTAAAACACTTTCCAAAATGAATAAGACTGTGGCCCTGTTCTCAGCATTGCAAAGAAATACTCCAATTAATTACACAAAAGCAGATCTGATCGCATCACACTTAAAGCTTGTACTGGTGTGGTGGCAAGTACCTTTAGTCCCAGCACTCAGGGGGCAGAACTATTGGGGATCTCTGTGAATTCCAGGGCCAGCCTGATCTACAGAGGAAGTTCCAGGACAGCGAAGGCTACATAGAAAGACCTTGTCTCAAAAAATCCAAACAAAACCAAACCAAATCAAAAAACTTTCCAATGGCTTTCCCTGACTATAAAAATCCATGGTGCTTAACTTTTCCAAGTTCTAGCTAATTAATACCTGATGTACTCAATTTCTTTCAGCATTTTGGGATTTTTGTTTTGTTTTGTTTTTGTTTTTCGAGACAGGGTTTTTCTGTAGCTTTGGTGACTGTCCTGGAACTAGCTCTTGTAGACCACCAGGCTGGCCTGGAACTCACAGAGATCCGCCTGCCTCTGCCTCCCGAGTGCTGGGATTAAAGGCGTGCACCACCACCACCACCCGGAGCATTTGGGATTTGTACAAGTGGTTGGTCACTTGTAATTCCAGTCCTACTATACTTATTTATCCTTCAAAGGAAGAGGGGAAGGAAGTCTTTCAAGTTTTGTAAATGCCAGGTAGAAACGGATCCACAATCACCTCAGTTCAATCCCCAGGACCCACAGGGTGGAAAGAAAGAAGTGACCTCAGCAAGTTATCCTCTGACTGGGGAACGGGGAGAGAGGGAGGGAGATGCGGCCAGAGACAGCACAGAGGCGCACACACAATAAACACACCTTCCCTCCACCCCAATTATTTAACGGTTACACCCACAGCGAACTACAAACATCTAAGATGGAAAGACTTTGCCTGCAGCTTCTGGGTAGCAAACTGTGTTAAGTAAAGCGCTGCCCGGAAGGAAGGTAAACACCTTCTGATAAACGGCACTGGCCTCAAAAAAGGGTTAAAATCCCTCTATCTATCCCCCACCTTGACATCTCGACCAGTCCTCACATTTGGGCTTTTCTTCCCAAGTCCTGGACGTCAGTCCTCAGTTTCTCCACTGATATTCATAGCTACTGGTCCCCCTCTCAAGCCCAGCCCCAAAAGCCTTGGATGGAAACCTTGCTACCAAGTGGGTACCTAAGCAAATTCTGGCTCCGGTTGCCCATCGCTAAAGTCCACACCTCCCCCGAAACGTCCCCTTAATTCTGCTTTCAGCCCACAGACACCAACCGTTCCCCATCCATCACTCCCAATCCAATCCATCCCCCCAATCCACCCAGGCCTGCAAAACCCCCTCCCCACGCTCCCTCCCGGAGCCGCCGCGGTCTCAGCCGCCGGTTCCACGGCGCTTTTTATCTTGTAGGTCGCCCAGGTACACTTCCCGAGCGGCCCTCCAGACGCCCCTGTGCCTGCTGGAGCCAGTCCCCAACTCGGTGTCCTCGCCGCACCGCGCTCCGAGCTCCGGGAGACCCAGCGCACGGTCCGTGGGCCCGACCCAGCCCGGCCAGCGAAGCCCCCTGGGCGGCGCAACGCACCTCCCGGGGCTCCCCGAGCTCCGCCGCCGCCCGGGGGCCTCCCACCCCCATTCCCCCCGACCCCAGACGGCCCGGAGCCCGGCACTGCCCCGCTTCTCCCGCGTCCCCGCACCCCGCGGCGGCCTTACCGTCAGTCACGGCTCCCATGGCGTGCGCGGCAGCGACGGCGCGAGCTGAGGCGGCGGTTGGCGGCGGAGGTCAAACTCCCACAATGCAGCCGGGTAAACAGTCATGGAGGAGGAGGCGGCGGCGCCCGCGGCCGCCCTCTCCGACTCCTGAGTCGCGCCGCCCCGCGCCGCGCCGCCGCCGCCGCGGGACCCGCTCTGTCCGCGCTCGCCGCTCTCCCCCGGGGGGCGCGGAGCGGCCGGCGGGTGAAGGGCGAGGCGGGCGGCGGCGGCTTGGCTCGCGCACACCGCCGTCCCGCCCGGCCTGCGCCCACAGGCCGCCCTGGAGGCCGCGGCCAGCCGCCAGGTGAGCTCGGGGCTGCGCGTGCTCCGGGGTGGGGGGGTGGGGGGTCTCCACGCCCGTCGCTCCGGGTGGTGACTGTCAATCCCTGGCCGCCGGGGGCCGCTCGCGCCGGTGGGGGAGATGGGCGCCCACGCATGGCGCGGCGGGTCTCGAACCCGGGTCCCCGAGGCGGGCGCGGCAAGCCATCCTCTGGTCCTGAGCTCTGGCAGGTGCCAGGGAAGTGGGGGAAAGAAACTTGGCGACCTCCGGGAGGACTTTGTGCAGGACCCGGAGCTTAGGTTCCTGCCGTCCTCGCCCCTCACCCAGTTCTTCCACGGTGCTGGAATCCAGATGGGGCGCCATAGTTTTCATCTTATCTTTGCCTTTAACCGAAAGCTTCTTAAGGGGAAGTCGAAAGCAGAAAGTGTCGGGGGAGGTGGCGCTGCCATTGGAAACCTTGCTTGGGATCCCATATGTAAAAGCAAAGAGCCTTTATTTTAAACAAGTTTGCAAACTCGGTCTCTCTGCATGTCCAACGTACTGGAATATCCAGAGAGCCCCGAGCTCAATTAGAATATCCCAGCACTCGGGAGGCAGAGGCAGGTGGATCTCTGTGAGTTCGAGGCCAGCCTGGTCTACAAGAGCTAGTTCCAGGACAGGCTCCAAAGCCCCAGAGAAACCTGTCTCTGAAAAAAAAAACAAAAAAACAAAAAAGGGGTTTTATAGTAGTAGAGGAGGGGGTGAGGGGGATCTCTGAGGTTTAGGGCCCCTGATTGGCTGACATTTGTCTAGGGGTGTCCTGTTGAGGTGCACTGGCAGGTGTCTCTGTCCACAGCTCTTGCAATGCCAGGCATTTCCTTTGAATGGTCTGCTCTTGGGTGGGGGTCGGGCCTGACAGGGGTTGTCTCAGGGTAAGCTATTGAGACTTCAGACTCCATTTAAATTCATCGATGGCCAGAGTCCCAGGTGATAATGGTTGGAAGTAAAGAACTTCCTTTGGGTGACCTGCCCAGACTTAGATTTCATGGCTGGCCCCCACATAGAGTACACAATTCCTGGGCACGCGCTGCAGGTTCTACTGTCATCTCTCTGGGAAGATCACTGTGATTCAGCTTTGATGAGTGTCTCCTAAATGGAACCGTGTAAGCTGTGGGAGACAGCCCCAGGGGTATGGCTGACTTGATCTCCAACAGGCTAGAGTTACACCCAGAAGCGTGTTCGACTTTGGAACCCAGGTTTTCGTGATCCCAAGTCCCTTGTGTCTTCCGATTCTGCATAAAGCAATTGTGCAGGGGTCAGTTTGGTTGTTCAGATTTCTTTTCCGGAGTGGGGTCCATGTATCTGCCCTGTGTTCTCTCAGTTCTTTAGCAGAAAACCTGGGATATTTCAGTGTATGGTAGCGAAGTGGTTTTTAACCTCTATGCACAACTATGTATATTGTCAAATACGTTACTGACTTCTGTCGCAAAGGCAGAAGATACCTTGAATGAAGATGTTTTTGAGGCATAACTGACCTGTTCTAAAAGCTGAAACTGTGGTCCCTGACTTTTTAAAAGAGTATTGCCATAAAGGCTGTTCATAACTTGGACTTTGGATCTGTTCGTTTCATTGATGTGAGAGGAAGGAGAATAGTAATCTTAAACTCCGGTGAGACGGTGATGGCCATGCTTTTTGTTTGTTTGTTTGTTTTTGTTTTTCGAGCTTTTAATCCCTTCTGGGCCGACAGATCCATGAGCTGAGGCCAATCTGGGTCTAAATAAGGAGTTTGGGGGCAGCCAGGGCTGCCTGCATAGGCACCCCAACATTTTGGTGGAGCGATTTCTTGTTTGGAAGGAAACTGTCAAGTAGTAAAAGGTTGCTTTTAAAAAGGCATGTCTTGATCTTATCAGCACCTTGCTGACTTTGGAACGGTATTTGGCGATGTCAAATAGTGGTTAACGTTTTCATCAGAACCTTGCTCTGCCCTCTATGATTTAAGCTTCCGTGAGACAAGGTCAGGTTTTCACAGATGAGCCAATGGCCAAACACTTTCGAAAGTTTATTTGATCACTCACAATTTTGTTAATCAGGGCTAGAAAGTTTTTAAGGCAATAAAACCATAAGTAACACTTGAAAGTAAACATTTCTGAACATTCTCTGCTCAGTTGATGGAAGATTGAGTAGTAAGAAATATCTGAGCCTTTTGAAGGCACTGGAGTTTTCTTCAAACCATATAATTTAATTTATTATGGCATTGACAAGATTCTATGAGTTGAACATCTGAGGATTTCTTTTATTGTATGATATACATTGAAAGGACATCTTGCCGTGAAGTTTAGAAATGATCTTTTCATAGGCTAATGTTACAGTAGGCTGTACCCAAGCTCATGCTTCTTCTGTTTCTTTTCTTTTCTTTCTTTAAAGGGAAATCTTGACGGGCAGAAACAGAACTGGGAAGTAACATGCTTTAAGCTGCCAGACAGCTGATCTGAGCTTGTAGGCCATAGGTTCAGTAGTTTACGCCAAGCATTAGCCCCTTCTGTCCTGAGAATGGGAGGCGTTAGTTAAGGAACTTAGTGTATTTAGTTAGCATTTGCCTTTGGAAAACATAAAGACTGGCGAGAGAGCCAGGGCTTTGGTCTGTGTCCTTGCTGTCTCAGGGTTTCTACTGCTGTGGTCAGCATCTCAGCGTAGCCTGCCCAGCGGCAGTGCTACACTCCATGAACTAGGCCCTCCCACATCAGCCATCAGTCAAGAACATGCATCATAGTCTTGCCCACAGGCCCGACTCATGTAGTAGGCTTTTCTCAGGTTCACTTTCAACTCAAGAGTTATTTTGGTCTGTAGACCTTCAGGGGTCAGCAAATAATTTTTTTTTTTTTAGATTTGTTCATTTTATTTTACCTGTCTTATGCCCAAATCCGTGGGTCCTCACAAAAGCCAGCGAAAAAGACCAAAGTCCCATATGTAAAAGCAAAGAGCCTTTATTTTAATCAAGTTTGCAAGCTTGGTCTCTCTGCATGTCCAATGTATTGGAATATCTGGAGAACCCCAAGCTCAATTAGAAAAGGGTTTTATAGTAGTAAAGGTGGGGGTGAGGGGTTTCTGAGGTTTTAAGACCCCTGATTGGCTGACATTTGTTTAGGATTTCCTGGTGAATGTATGTGCGCTGGCAGGTGTTTCTATTTACAGGAATTTCCTTCGAATGGTCTGTTCTTGGGTGGGAATAGGGTAATCTCAGCTTGTGGTGTCTCCTGCAGCCTGGCATCATCTCAGGGTAAACAACTGAGACTCCAGCCTCCACTTAAATTCATCTATGGCCAGAGTCCCAGGTGATAATGGTTGGAAGTAAAAAACTTCCCTACCTGCCCAGACTTAGATTATCATGGCTGGCCCTCACAGCCTACATGTATGCTTTGTACACTACCACCACACGTGTGCTTGGTGCCTGTGGAGGTCAATAGAGGCCATTGGATACCCCGGAACTGGAGTTACAGGTGTTTGGGGGAGACAGTGTGGGTGCTGGGAGTTGAATGTGGGCCTCCTGGAAAGCAGCCGTGGCTTTTATCCACTGAGCCATTTCTCAAGCCCTCCATCTGTGTCTTTTAAAATAACTTGGTCCATTTGGTTCTACGTACATGTGCATGGGTGTTGGACCTATTTACTAAGTGTGAATAGCCTCGCAGGGCTTCCATCTCTGAAGAAAATGGATCCTCTCAGCCGCTCTCGGTTACTAGTAGTTCCTCACCTAGAGATGGGACTTCATAAACTCTCCCGCATCCACCTTGGGATTTTGGTGGGTTTCATCTTGTACATGTCCTCCCTGTGGCTCTCACAGTGTTTCTGCACACACCCTTCCCCGTTGTCCCCTCAGCATTGGGGTGGGGGAGTAGTGTAGATGTTCCATGCCGACGACAGAGCATCTGCACACCGACTGGTTGGAGGTCTCCGTAGTAATTCCCATCTCCTGCAAAAGCATCTTCTCTGCCGAGTGTGGGGAGTTTCGCAGATCAGTGAGCGTGAAGCTAAGGATGCAAGGGACAGTTTATTACTATGTTCATTTAGCAGAATAGTAGTGTTAGGTCCTCTTCTAGAGCCTTTCACCCAGAAGCCACATGTTTTTGTCCCAGTTATCAGTATCAGATATAGGGTCCATATTGTGGAGCAGGCTTTATATGCAATCAAAAATTGGTTGACTACACCCATAATATTCATGCTACCTTCATACCTGTAGGCGTGTTTTGTCAGGCCAGTTGTGGATCTTTCATCAGTCCAGCTGGGCAGGACTGGGGATGTTTTTCCCCACCTCTAGCGCACATAAACCCTTTTGACACCCTGGAAACTTGTTGGAGCTGGCAAGTAGGGACGCAGCTTTCAGGCCATTACCAATAGATTTTTCAATGCTCTGTGTGTCAGGTATGTGGTGTTTTCAGCAGTAGGGTCTTACTGTCCTGTCAGCTTCCGCAGGATGACCAAGAGCCTATAATTTAGGGGGTTGAGTCTATAGGAACTCACGGACCAATATCTCAGAAAAAGGTAGCTCATTCCTGGCTCTGGGTTTTTTATTTGATACCCTGGGATATCTGAGGATGTCGTCCCTTCCCACTCCATGTGTATTGTTGGGTGACTCCTTTAAGCCCCTTTATGTGTATGTGTGCTTTCTAGGAAGCCGCCACAAAGCTCTTTAGTGTTAGCTTCCCCTCTTCTACCCTGGCTTTCCAAGAGCCACCCCAATTAGTCTTTCCTTTTCCATTACTCCCCTTTCCTCTTCATACCACCATTGTTCTGGCCCCCTTCCTGAGACCCTGCTCCTCTCACGTCCCCTTACTCTCTCCTCCATTCTGTGGCCTTCAGTTTAAACACATCTATCTAAAGATTCAAAGCTAGCATCTTCAAATGAGAGAGAACAAATATCTGCCATTTGTCCTTCCCTGTCTGGATTACCTCAAAATAATCATTTCTAGCTTCATTTATACCTGTAAATTTCAAAAATTCATTTATCTTTACCATGAATAGAATTCCATTGTGCAAATATACT